ATCCATCCATCCATCCATCCATCCATCCATCCATCCATTCATTCTAAAATCAAGTCTGTCTTTTGTAACTGAGTCCCTGAGGCTCAATAAATAAAAGTTGAATGAAATAAATAAATAAGTTTATATATATATATATATATATATATATATATATATATTATTGTTAACACGAAACAGACATGGTGATGTCTGTTTTTTCAGGGGAACTAGAGAGAGAGAGAGAGAGTGTGTATTATTAGCATTAATCATTCTGTTTTTTTCATCATGTTCATAAGAATTTAAAATGCAGTAGGTGTGGTGTTTAATTGCCTTTCTTTGGAACAATTACTGTACAGCAGAAAAATGGCTGAGGCGGTGGCAAAGGTGGCCCAGAGGGTTAATGAGGCAGTAGAGGAAGGCAAAGACAGTCTGGGTGAGTCACTCAAAACATTTTTCTCCTCTCTTTTAGCAAAGCATGTGAATGAATGACTGATTTGTTTAGGGTGGTGGTTTAAATCTCACCAGCAGATGGCGATAGTGGCCTAAATTTGAATCCCCCAGTCCCTTTCTTACTGAGGTACCTCTCATACTCCTCTTGTCTGCAGACCTGTCGAACTGCCAGCTTGTTTCTTTCCCTGACGGTGTGTTCAAGCTCCTGAGGAACGTCACAGAAAACATCTGTGTCATCACGTTGGCGGATAATAAGCTAAAGTCCATCTCCAGCAAGTTCTTTGAAACTTTTACTCATCTCAGAGGTAGGCAAGGACAGACAATGCGCAGCTCATACATTTAATGTTAAAGAAGCAGCTGTATCACACACTGTTGTTCTCACATCACAAGTGTTGACAGAATGTCTTCATGCTGTGATTGAAGAAGAGAAATAACTCCTTCATTTACTCATGTCTTGAAATACCTCACAGAACTTGACCTGCAGGGTAATGTTCTCACCAAACTGCCTGACACTGTGGGGGAAATGGAGCATTTGACCTTCATCAGTCTGGCTCATAACAGCTTCTCCATCTTTCCCGACAAGCTGGCTGAAATCGCCTCTCTGGAGAAGATTGACCTTGAGGGAAACAGCCTCGTCGGTAAATAACATATTTATGTATGCCATTTGTTTGCAAAATGAAGTATTTCTTTGCAGCATAAACAACTCCTTTAAGCTTATTTCCTTTTTTTTTTTTTTTGGCATTTTGTCCAACAGAAATACCTCTGGAGAAGCTGTCCATCATGCCATCTCTGAAGTCGCTAAACCTAAAGTCAAATCCTTTGGATGTCAACGCTCGGTCTGCTCTGACATCTCCCCACAAATTTGAGATTTTGCTGGCAAACGAGTCGTAAAACATGTCAAAAGTATTTGACACCAGATACAGACTGTATGCTTTGTGCCTTTAGTTGCTTTGAAGAAACAAAGGAGATCGAAACACTTGAAAAATAACATCATGTGCAAGAAAAAGAAATACAGTCGTGTAAAGAGTGAGTTCAGTGCTGCCGCCTTTTTTGACTCACAGTTGAAGATATCAAACTTGACATTTTATCACTAATTTATTACTTGTTATCGATTAAATCAACATTTTGCAAACCGATTTTTGTGTTTTGATTTACTACTAATGACTTGTTCTGCACTTTTTGAAATGTTTTGATGCTTAATTATTCTTCAACACTTAAAAAAAAATTGATTATTGTTTACATGTAAACTTTACAATTTCCCACTACTTTATATTTTTTAAGTCCTTTTCTTTCTCTCAAAAACTGGTACATAGTACTATTTCTAAAGTCTCGTGGGACCTGTTGCCATCTATGAAAAACAACACCTTTGTTGACAGATTGTATGTGTTAAAAAGAAAATAAGTATTTCAACTCAAAGTCAAAAATACTTTTTTAATCCCAAAGGGAAATTAAATGTTGTTATAACTCGTTATCCATCGTTTCATTAAGAGATGTTATAGATGCTGATGGCTGTAGGCAGGAAGGATCTCTTGTAAAGGTCTTGTCTCCCAGCAGATCTGAAGAAACTGGCCACAGATGCTGTCCGATCCATCCACCCAGACTCGGCTGGTTTCTCGAGCACAGCTGGCAGGTAGATGGGAATGCATCCATAGCGCCTCCTTTTCAACTAATTTTGGATTTGGGGCTGTAGTTGATTTGAGCTTTTGAGATGTTAATCAGCTGCTCCCAGTTGTGAAAAACACCTTGGTTACACATCATAACAAAATGTCCAAAAGTAAAAAAGTTTCAGTAAAAATCCTTGCAGCTGTATCTGATATCAGAGGAAACACTCATCCCAAAAAAGTGATTTACATCCAGAAAAAGAGGAAGCAATATTTCAGAATGAATTTAAGAGAGCTACTCCATTCCGAGCAGCGCAATTTGATCTTCATTTCCCAGTATGATACAGAAAAAAGACTTCATCGTCCTAAAAACAAATATATATTTACTGGTACATTTTTTAATATGTGCTTAACTCTTTTCAAATGGGCTTTTTTATTAAACTTTAGCTACATAACCAATAGAGCTACCACTTAATATTTTTTTCAAGTATTATTTACTGCCACGCTATGAAAATCTGCCACACTTATTTGCAGCGGACCATTTGCTCCTCACAGTTCCAGGAACTCGTCTTAAGCGCAGAGGGGACAGGGCCTTCTCTGTAGCAGGACCAAGACTTTGGAATGAGTTACTTCTGCTTGTCAGACAGGCCCCCACCCTCTTGGTTTTCAAGTACCGTTTAAAAACCCACTACTATTCGGTAGCTTTCAACACCAGATGATCTGTGTTTTGAACCTGTACGCTCCACACTGGTTAGTCATCATTATCTGCATCGTTTTTTTGTCTATATTTCAGATTTACTTCATTTTGTATTTTGCTTTGTGTGTTACCTGTTGTTCTGTCTGTACAGCACTTTGGTTGGCCTTGTCACTGTTTTAAGTGTTGTATAAATAAAATGGTATGATATGGTGTTTGCTTTGGATGTACATGAATTATCTGTATTGTTGTATTGTTAAAATGAATAAATAACACTCAGTACATGGCATGATACTTTAATAAATAGATGTTTTTCATGACATTTCAAAAATAGGTCTATAAGCCTGCCATCAAAGTGCTGCAGTTCAGCTGATCCAAGTCGCCGTGGTCACAACAGCTAATTCTGCCACATTAATGGGATTACAGCTAAAAGCAGGCAGCTCCATCTGTTTCTGCAAAGAGCTCTGAAGAGTCACAGCCTAAATACGGGAAATAAATCTGTGGAAATTCTGATAGAAGCTGTTCGCATTAATGTTGCGGGATGCGTGCGACAGCCGTGGAGAGGTGGTGAAAAGGATTAGGCGCTGATGACTTCACAGCTCTGCCCCTCACAGAAGGTCTAACAGGCATCAGTAGACGTGATATGAAAACATGCTTTAGGTTTTTTAGTAGCGTGCACGGCCCCCTCCTTTGCCTTGGCAACTAGCTCTCAGTGAAGCTTCTTAGTCGTGCTGAATTAGTGAACGCACCACAGAGGGAGCGATTCATCCCAACATGAGCTTTTCTACAGAGGAGAGGGGCAGGCCGAACACCCAGGAGTACAGGGTGTTTTTCAGTAAGCACAGCTTTTTGAATCAAATACTTTGTTGCAGTAAAATAACCTCATTTATTAATATAGCAGTTGCTTGAATAACTCGTTGCTGTTTTGAGCTACATGTAGAAAGAGCTTGATGAACTCTTTTCTAGAAAACTCGGATGGAAAGTACATTTCTCCCTTTCATGACGTGCCCATTTATGCGAACGAAGCGGAGGTGAGCAGCGTGTCATCTGTTAGTGATTTGGGCAAATATATTTCCTGTTGATTAACAAAAACACATGGCTTGAAAAGGCTCTAAACATAAAGTGTAGGAAATGTGCCTTTAATAGCAGTGTTGGATTAATATATGTAGAGATGCATGATATTATCGGCATATCGGTATCGTCCTGTATTAGTGATAAAGTTAAATATTGGATATCGGCCATTCCATCAAAATAACTCACCACTATAAAAGGCGCTGTATTTATGTATGTACGTATGTACATACACACATATGAAAGGCGCTGTTTTTGTAGGACAACAGTGACAAGGACGCCTGCAGTGCCAGCACGTTGCCACGTCCACCGTTGAGTTTAGATTGGTGAAAATGTACTAATTTGTACTGTTCGAGTGTTGTCATTGTGTTAGAGAGAGTAAATGTCATGAATAAATTTGACATTAAACATAATCCAAGTTTAAGTGTCGCTTTATTTTCAGCCCCCTTTTTGGCATTTGGTGGCAGGTCAAATTGACAAAGACCATGCAGAATAATGGAGTATTTTAATTCCATAGCAGAGAAAGCTATGTGTAAGTAGGTTTAGGGGAAAAATATTGGTATTGGATATTGGTTATTGATTATCAACCAAATAAGTTTTAACATATCGGATATCGTCCAAAAATCCAATATCGTGCATCTCTAAATATGTTTTATAAATAAAATACATGAAAAAATAAATCCGTAATTTCAGTCAAATAAAAACCAACAGATATAATAATTAAGCTTTACTTTAAAACACAATTACAATAAGATTGTCAGGCCCTCGATTGTTTTATTGATTTATTTTGCTACTTTTAGCTTGCCTTGTCCAACATTTAGTTTTAGTTGCTTTTTTGTTTTTTCTTATTCTTTTATCTTTCAGGTAACCTTTTGCCACTTTTTTTTTCTGGACCGTTGACTATTTTTAACCTTTTTTGGAAATGTTTTGCTGTTATTAGCTAGCAATTTGATGCTTTTTAGCTTGCTTTTTATTTCTTTAAGCTTTTGGTGTAATGATTCTTTAATCTTTAACAACTCATTTTCATCTCTCAGCATTCGCACTGAATTTGCATAGAAAATACATTTCTCCAGTTTATCTTTGTTAGACTCTATTTTAGTTAGATTTTATTATTAATAAATCTAAATAGAGTGGAAATTAGCAAGCTTTTGGAGGTAAAAATTGATCTTGTTTTAAATTTGTTGTTTCTGTTTTTAAGTAGCTGGTATGGTTAATTAGGTGATTTTCTTCTGTAACACTAAAGTTTTGAAGAATTGCTCTTCAGGATTATTGGTACCACTTTACAATAAGTCTCCCCTTATGGATGATTAATAATAGATATGTTACAAGTATATAGTTATCTAAGTTATATAAGTATATAGTTATAAGTGTCTATAGTTGTAGATATTTATATTACGGTATATCCTAAAAAAAATACCAGTAAGTTTACAAATTCTTATTGTGCTTACAAGGTAGTAACTTAGTCTGAAATGTTTAATATAAGAACTCTAGATAAAATATATAGGTGAACAGATTTGGCTCACTATTTGGCAAGAAACTGATCAGTTTTGTCTCTTTCTCGCCCTTACTTAATGCTTAATAAGCAGTTATTAATGATTTATAAAGTGTTTATAGAGAAATTAATAACGTATCTATAAACTATTTATTAGCCATCCATAAGAGGAACCTTATTATAAAGTGGTACAGGATTATTAAAGTGCATTCTCATGATTCTGCAGAACATTTTTCATGCCGTTGTGGAAGTTCCGAGATGGACAAACGCAAAGATGGAGGTACGTTTTTAAAAATCATAACACTTACACTGTAGCTCTCAACAATATTTTTTAAGAACTGCTTGGAGGTAGTTTATTTTGACATTTTTGCAACTACCAAGTCATTGCATATTACGTTGCTTACATTTCTCAGATTGCCACGAAGGATCCTCTAAATCCAATAAAACAAGATGTGAAGAAAGGGAAGCTTCGTTACGTAGCCAACGTGTTTCCCCACAAAGGATATATCTGGAATTATGGAGCTATTCCACAGGCAAGTATAGCTCAAACTATATTCAAACAAAAGGAGAATTGTTCAATGTGATAATGTTTGTGATAGACATGGGAGGATCCCAACCACAAGGACGGTGACACGGGATGCTGTGGAGACAATGATCCGATCGATATATGTGACATTGGTGACAAGGTACTGAAATGTGCTGAAAAGGCTGATTTCGATCCAGCTGCTTGGAGCCTTTTCCTAGAAATGTGACTAACCTTTTCAGGTGTGCTCTCTTGGAGAAATCATCAAAGTGAAGGTGTTGGGAACGCTGGCTCTGATCGATGAGGGTGAAACGGACTGGAAGGTCATTGTGATCAACACAGAGGATCCAGAAGCTGCAAACTTTAACAGTAGGAAAAACCAGCTCCTCACCTGTGCTGATCAACAAACTTCTCTATAGTTTATCTGTTAATTTGCTGCAGATATCGATGACGTGAGGCGGCTTAAACCAGGATACCTGGAGGCGACTGTTGATTGGTTCAAACGATACAAAGTCCCAGATGGGAAACCTGAAAACCAGTTTGCTTTCAACGGAGAGTTCAAAGACAGGGTGCAAAATTCATTGTCCTATTTTTGTTACTTATATTTTATTTTAAATGTGAACCCCATCAGGTTATTACTAATTTAGACAACTGTTCTTGTAGAAAAGAAATATAAGATATTTTTGTTTTACAGGACTTTGCCATAAAAACAGTTAAAAGTACACATGACTTTTGGAACGCAGTGATATCTAAGAAGACCCATGCTGGCGAGTTAAACTGGTGAGCAACTCATGTTTAGATTTACCCTAATGCTTATCACTAGAACTAGGATTTTACACTAAGATCGACTTATCATCTAAGATTATCTAAGTTATTCTGTTGTTTTAAGCTCTTTCTCTCTGTTTTTAACCAGCATGAACACTTGTGTCTCAGACAGTCCATTTTTCTGTTCGGCGGCAGATGCAGAAGCTGTGGTTAAGTCTGTAGGTTTAATTTATATATTCACATTTTTTCTTTAATCCAAGTAAAGTTGTACTTGCCAATGCAGAATGTCAAAGATAAAAACATTCTTGTATTTTAAAATAGCACTGTTTTGTGATTTTTATGACTCGCAGGCCTGTTCTTTGGGTCCAGAAGATCCCATTTCAAGCTCAGGTGGGTGTTTCATTCATTTGCATCCACTTTATGTTTTTAATTCACCTAATTCAGTCTAAAAATGTGGTTATTGATTTTTTTTTCCCCAGTTGACAAATGGTTCTACTATGAAAAGTAACAATCTGCAGCCGTGTGGAAAAACTTCAGAGGAATTCTTCGTTCATTTTACCAGCACATGAGCATCACAGATTTAGTATGATTTTCTTTGTTTGGACTGTTTTTGACTTAGCAGAATTCAGAAGATGTGAAAGCACTTTTTGTCTCTGACTCAACAACTCTCTTCAATTAAACTCAGTTTCATTATATTTAATATTGTGTGCTATGTTTTTTGTTTGCATATTGTCATCATGTGCTGCTCACTAAATACAAATATAACACTGAAAAAGATACATATGACCCTAAATATAAATCTGTGCATCCCTCACCTGTAAGCCGTTTTGCAATTTCACACATTACACAACAGCCTATAAGGATCCACTAAAGATTTTACTTGGAATAAAAAAAAAAAAAGTTTTGGATGTAAATGTCAAGAGTTAAATATATTATTGTTCAACATAATCTCAACTTTCATTAACACAATAACTGTAACACGAAAGCCAGTTCTATTCTATGGAGAATTAACGTTGCTATTAATTAAAGAACAAGTGAAAGAGTTCAAATATCACAATCATATGTTCTAGAATTGCACCACTCGGGGTGGCTGCATATTGGAGTCTGTTACATTCATTCTGATTTATTGCATTAGAAAACTTTAATTCCTCTTTTTTACTGGATGTAAATCACTTTTTTCAGATGAATATTTACGCTGGTGTTGGATGCGGTTCAGCTGGAAGGATTTTTACTGAAACTTTTCTACTTTTAGGCATTTGTTATGATGCATAACCATGGCAACAAGGTGTTTAACAACCAGACACAGCTGATTAACATCTCAAAAGCTCAAATACTTCAACTACAGCCCCAAATCCCAAATGAGTTGAAAAGGAGGCGCCGTGGATGACTTCCCGTCAACCTGGCAGCGGTGCTTGTGTACTTGACTGCTGAGATCAGGGAGCTGGTGAGAAACTCTGCTCGTGCCAACGGGAGGACAGGGATCATCCTCCAGCACCTTCATCTGTTTGTCCGTGGTGATGAGGAGCTCGGCAGATCGCTCAGAGGAGTGACCATTGCTCAGGGAGGAATTCTGCCCGGCATTCAGGCAGTCCTGCTGCCCAGGAGGACTGAGAGGCCCACCGGATCTGACAGCAAGCTGGATACGGGTGGACGGATCGGTATCTGTGGCCAGATTTTTCGGATTCGCTGCAGGAGATCCTTCCTGCCCACAGCTATCAGCATCTATAACAACTCTTGAATGAAACCAAGACGATGAGCTACGACAACACCCAATTTCCCTTTGGGATTAACAAAGTTTTTTTTATTTATTTAATTGAATACAAGTACCCTTACTCTCTTTAGCAGTAAGCTACCACAGAATAGATGGCAGACAAATGTAATGTTAAAAAAATGGCATACATATAATAGTACATTTTTAAATACCTAAAAATAAAAGGACAAGAGTCTGTGAGATACAAGCTGTCTGCCGCTAAAGCGTGTTATATTTTCTACTCATCAAGAGGGGGCGCTGTAAACATATGAACACAGGCTTGGTGCCCAATTAAATCCACGAAGAAGAAAATGATTGACGGTTTCCAGGGAAACCACTGACGCTACTAAGTCCTGGGCTGTTTGGTCGGTGCTGTAGCTTTAGGTACGTGAACAGAATTATATATATATTTATATATATATATATTTTTTTTTGTAAAGCAATTTCATGGAAGTGTTTTCTTGCTACCTGTATGTCTTAACGAGGTTCTCTCTCAGTTTCTCGTTTGTCAAAATGTGTCGTTATGAAGACGAGCGTTAGCTAAGTGAAATAACTAGCTATAAATGTAACGCAGCCTGCCTGTGAAACATGTTCTGTTTGTCTCATTAAACGTGTTGTTTGGTTAAAGCTATTTGAGTTGATATTATTTAAGTTACCAGCTTCATCATGTTTGGGTGGAGGTAGAGAATGTTATTTGATGGAAAGCCATTAAAACATTAAATTGGGAGGGGGAAACTTTTTTTTTCATTCAACCTTTATTTAGACAGGTAAATTTGAAACATGTTTCTACTCTGGTGTCCAGTAAGACAGCACTAAAAGCCCATATCACTTAAAAATAGGGAAAAACCTTACTTGTATAGTTTCAAAGCATGGTTTTTCTATTTTTAATCACTCAATGCATTAAGTAGTAATAAATCCTCTTTTTATTACAGGTGACTTGTGTCACTATGTCATTTCTGTTTGACTGGATCTACAAGGGCTTCAGTAGTGTTTTACAATTCCTTGGTGAGTTCTTTTGTTTTCCTTTTGTGAGCCGTTAGTCCTAAACAAAATATGTGATGTAATAGATGATTGAAAAATATAAAAGTCAAATATTATAGATGTTATGACACACTGAAGCATAGTGAACATAGTAATACTGCAGTGATTTGGTTCATGGAGCAGTAAAGTTTTTTTTTTTTTTTTGTAAAATTCTCCCCAGGTCTGTATAGAAAGACTGGAAAGCTGGTTTTTCTGGGCCTGGATAATGCTGGGAAAACAACACTTCTCCACATGCTGAAAGACGATCGACTTGGTCAGCACGTACCAACGCTACATCCAAGTAAGAACGTAATGGAGGGTGTAGTGTGGCTTTCAGGCTGATGTGACTGTTGACTTTTTCCTGATGTTAGCCACAATTTCAATGAAGCTTGTAGAAATGTCATACATTCTGTATTCAGCATCAGAATTTTTATTTTTTATTTTTCTTCCAAGGGTTGTTGCTGCATTAACGAAGAAGAAAAGCTGTTATTACATCACATGTTAATTTTTTTTTTCTTTTTAAACAAGCATTTTCTTTTTTAATTAAAGTGTTTTGGGCCTAAAAGTCCAGCCTGTTTAGATTTTTGTTGTTTTATACACAATGGTACATGTTTTTTTGTGCTCCCTGTTCAGTCTTGTTTAGTTTTAAATTAGTGTAAATGCTATAAATTGTGATTTTGGTAAAATCACACTTACTAAGCTGTCACTGTTTTTGCACAGGAGTGACTGTATTACATTGTGTGTTACAGTAATACTTTTTTGAGAATAGGAGAGTTGCTACTGTAGTATGATAGTGATGTGTTGTGATTAGTCGTTTTAAACTGTGTAGATTGAGCAAACAGAGGCATAATCTGCGTTTTCATTTTCTTTCTCCTCAAAGCCTCAGAGGAGCTGACAATTGGTGGGATGACGTTTACCACATTTGATTTGGGAGGACACCTACAAGGTAAAGGTTTTTTTCCTTCTAGTAATTAACTAATATATGTCTATAACGTATTCATTATTTGTTTTTGTTTATCTGCCACATTAGCATTTAGAAAGGTAGCATTTATATGTGCTTCTTGGATTTGTGTCATATAAATTTAAAAGTGTTGTTTCTTTTAACAGCATGTCATTTTTGGACCTGAAGGCATCCTGATATGCATGTTTTTTGGACTTTAAAGCCTCAGCAGCTGTGCAAATAGTTTTGTTGCTGCCACAAGGTGTCTCTGTAGGCCTCCTTGTTCTAATTGATTATTTTTATGTGGAGGCAGCTCAGAGCTCAGAACTTGTCTCTTTTTGACATTTGAAAATAACAGTTAGAAGCAGGATACACTGCGGTGCGGATGTTGTGCTAGAACTGCTAAAGATGTACATTATGAAAGAAAACACTTACCTCTTCTGGTGTGTTATGAAATCTTTTCATTTATGTCATCAACCCTGCTAGAAAGACATTTTAGAATAAGCAACTAATCCTCTTCGAAAGAGCACTTCTAAATTTGGAGCTCTATTTTAAAGAGGTGGAAAAGGGAAACTTGGCCATCTGCAGTCTCTCATGTTGATTTGCAATTGATTCAGAAACATTTTGTCCTTTTCTCACAGCTCGAAGAGTTTGGAAGAACTACCTGCCGGCTGTGAATGGAGTCGTCTTTCTCGTCGACTGTGCCGATCAGGGCAGACTCGCAGAATCGAAGACTGAACTTGATGTAAGTTCAAACAAAGCAGCTCTAACCGGAAATAAACTGATTAAAATGGAATGTGATTTGTTTCTAGGCTCTCCTTTCAGATGAAACCATAGCCAACGTTCCAGTGTTGGTGTTGGGGAACAAAATAGACCGTCCTGAGTCCGTCAGCGAAGGAGCGCTGAGAGGAGCTTTTGCTCTTGATGGTCAAGTCACTGGAAAGGTATGCGTGTCACAGAAACGTGTGGGCTCTCATGTCCTGCACACTTTATTTTATCCCAGTTGTTCTCAACAGGGAAATGTGTCTTTGACGGAGCTGGACGTTCGCCCTCTGGAGATATTCATGTGCAGCGTGTTGAAGAGGCAAGGCTACGGGGAAGGTTTCAGGTGGTTATCACAGTACATCGACTGACACCTGACATAAAACATGACAGGGACTGTCAACCACCACAAATAACAAGTGATATTCTTAAAAAAAAAAAAAACGTGCTTTGAACTGTTAAATCCCTCTATGCATTGACAGCAGCTTGTGGTGAATCGTCTTAATAATGGGAGAGAGCTGCACGGCATGTTAAGTATCCAATTACAAAACATGAACAGCCAGACATTTTCCTAGAATGTAAATATATATTCTGCAGCAGTGTTGAATTATTTATTACTTCACAAATCAGCTGCTCAAATGAGATTAATTATGTTGATGTAGCACAAGGGCTGGTGTTGATTGTAGTGAGCGGCTTAAGACGCGTCTACTTGATATGACTGAGATTTGGATTAGAGTTTAAATCAGTTCCATGAAGAGTTAAATAACGATGAGAGGATTATTTTCAGGTTGATTTGATCTGGTGATATGCAGCCTCTGCCTCCAAAGCATAACGCCAAAAATGTGTGCCTAATAACTCTGGGATTAGCAGTTGGCAGAGATCGTACTTCATCAAAATATCTTTGTTGAACACAGCTTGAAAAATGCCAAATCCTCTTTGCAAACTAATAAAAGGGGGAGAAAAGCAATCGAAGGCTGCTGATGATGGATTCAAATTAGGCGTCTCACTTATGAGTGCTGTTATTAATGTCTGACTGTTTTATTTCTGGACCAAGAATGAAACCACGCTCTAAATGTTTAATGCTTGCATTGAAGGCAATAAAATGTGCGAGTGAAAAGTGCTCGTTGCGAACTATAAAACCAAACACGTAAAAAGTTATTCTTACTAACAAAAAGCGGTGTAGTTTGAAAGAGTTTAGTCCAGAAGTTTTCAAGATCCATCACTATATATATATAATACTGAAATGCTGGTTTGCACTCAAAGCACTCTGCTAAATCCGCTAAAATGATGATGTTTTGGTGGAAATATAAAAGTAAATTTGTTTTAAAGTTACGAGAGACAACAGCAAACGCTAGTCTGAAGTATTTTACGATTTTCCAGCATGCTGAACAAATTAATCTGTTGTTTTTTTCCAGAAATATGAGTAAGTAAACTAGGGATGCACGATATTAGATTTTTGGCCGATAACCGATACCATTATCAATATTTTTTCACTAGACCTACTATTAAAATTAAAATACTACATTATTCTGCATGGTCTTTGTCAATTTGACCTGCTACCAAATGCAGATGCCATAAAGTGGGCTGAAAATGATGTAACACTTCAACTTGGATTATGTTTAATGTCAAATTTATTCATGACATTTACTCTCTCTAACACAATGACAACACTCGAACAGTGCACATTTGTAAATTTTCA